CCCGGCCGTCCCCGAGCGCCCCGCACACTTGCCTTGGTGAGCGCGGCAATGCGCTGGGCCAGCTCCGCTTCCACCTCGGGCAGCGTCTCTGCCTTCCGCATCGTCTGCTGCAGCTTCTGCTCCGCCAGCTCCAGCAGCTCCTGCAGATGCCGGGCTTTCTCCTCGCACTGTGGGGCAGGGCAGGATGGGTGCCTGGCACCAAGGCTTGCCTGCTTGCCCCATCCCCAGCACCTGCTTCTCCCTCCCAGGTCCCCAGGGTGGTGGGGAGTCTTGGGTCCAAGTTTTGGTACCTGGCGGTGCAGGGACTCCTTGTTGGCCAACTCGCTTTCCAGCTTGTCATTGAGGTCATGGATGGAAGTGGCTTCTCGCTGGGCTGCCAGGTAGCGTTTCTCCAGCGTGGTGATCCTCTCCTCCATGTCCTCTTTCTGAGCCAGGGCCTGGGGAAGTGATGGGGCTGTCACATCCTGGTCTGTGACCACTCATTTGGGAATAACTGGGCCACCCAGCTCCTGTGAGCCTGGGACAGCCCCAAGTCGAAGCATGCAATGCAAACCCTGCTCTGCACAGGAATGAGGGACAGCAGAGTGGGAAACGAATAAAGGGAGTCAGGAAATCACAGAAGAACATTCTAGCACAGACACAGCTCACTGCCCCAGGTCTGCAGCACACCTGAGTATCTCGGTGTCTGCTTATAATCTCATGGAATTCCTGGGGCACACCCTCTCAAGGGCAGTGGTCTCTTTTGGAGAACACTGGCTTGCACCCTATATACAACAGGGGTTACAATCCCTTCCCAGCCCAGAGCGTGTGGAAGCTGCTGTGAATGTCTCTGCATCTGCAACAGGCTTGGCAGTGTGTGAGGGCAGCGTCTAACCTCTCGGAGGTCCCTCTGGTACTTGCTGCTCATCTCCTCCGATTTGATCAGATCCTTCCTGGCGGTGCCCAGATCCTCCTCCAGCTCGGCGACGCTGGCAGCCAACGCAGAGATGCGCTCCTTGGCCTGGACCACTTCGAAATTCTGCTTCTCCAGGAGCTCCTGCAGCTCCACCACCCGCCCTGCCTCATCGTCCGGGTGGACAGAGCCGTTGGAGAGCCGCTGCAAGGCAGCAGAGAGGGAGGTGGATGCCGGGTTGCCCCAGAGCACGGGCTGGCATTGCCTGCAGCTACTCAACGGGGGAACACGGCCCTGCAGGGACCCAGTGAGGTGGTGGGGAGCAGGGACGTGGGGCTCTGGGACCCCTCGTCAACAGTCTTCACTAGCTAGGGATGTGGCTTCTCACAGGGACGATGGAATAGGGATGGTTGAAGGCTTCCCCGAGCGTCTCTGGGAAGCAGAGCCCCTAGGAGCACCCAAGCAGGAGCACAAATTCCCCTCCACTCAGAAATGGCCTGTATCCACTGGGAAGGGCATTTCCCAGAGGGATGGATGCAGGGGAGAGGGAAAAAAGTTTTCAGCACCCTGGAGCCAGTGACAAGGGGGTTGGAGAAACAACGGCCTCGGTAAGCATGATCAGGGCAGGGGTTTCTGGGGCTCTCACCTTCCAGGGAAGCTTCTGTGCTGGCTCCTTGGGCTCCCTCTCATCCCTCTCACCCGCCGGGACCTCCCGCGCGGTGCCTTGCTGCAGAGCCGCCACCTGCACGACAACAGGGCTTAATGCATGAGCGAAGGCAGATGAGACCAGCTGGTCCAGCCGTGGGTGAGGCCAGCCCTGGTGCACCCAGGTCTGCAACCGGCTTCCCGCTGGCTTCCTCCACCCTCATACTCAGCTAGTGCCTATGGCTGGGGGGAACTGGAGGGACAGGGTGAAGAAGACAGGGGAAGGCAGAGGTGCTGTGAAGGCTCAGGACTGACGGAGGATGAAGTCACATCTTGCAAAGAGCCTGAATCCCAGCAGTAAAGTTTTCCTGGTGAGCCCTCGGGCACCTGAGACCTGCATTCCAGGATTCCCTCCCAGCTCATCAAACTAGTTTGCAGCCAGCCAGACTCCAAACCTGGTGCAGACATAGCCATAGCCAGAAAAAGCAGAGGATCAACACTGACATCGCACTCTGGTCTGCTGGGGGAGGATGGGAAAGGTCCCTGCAAGGTGGCCGAAGGGAGGCACCGTGAGATATATCCTGGGAACTGGAAAGAGGAGCAAAATTTGGCCAGGCAGAGGCTATAGGGATGGCTCTTTTCTTTCGACGGTGGTGGCTGGGCACAAACTTCAGGAAGGAAA